AAAAAAAAAAAAAAAAAAAAAAAAAATAGAATCAAAAAAACTTCATAGTCAAGGCAACCAGTGAGAGTAGTATCACTGAAATAATAAAGAGAATTAGTGATGACTTCCCCCAACTATCATGGGTAAATCCCTCCATTTCCAAATATTGATCCCCTGTATAACAATAAGAAGTGCTAGCATTAGCATCACAGGAGTAAGGGTTATGTCGAAGCTCGGATGCCACTACACCACCATAACCATACCGCAGTAATGAGAGCGCTGAAAATAATTTTGGTACGGTAGGTAAACAAATAAGAAATCCACTTAATATTATGCAGTAACCATAATATAAATTTTGCACAAGCCACAAATCGTGCTCTACTGGATGCCAATAAACAAGAAACAACGTCAAGGAAGCATGAGCAAGACTCATTAAACCCATAGTTAACACCAAAGAGAAAGGTGATGATAATATGAAAAGTGTACACGAGGCACCAAGAAATGCAAATAAAGCACGTGGTAAAATAAGACGAAGTACTGTAGCTGTAAAATATTGAGTAGTATCAAAATAGTTATTATTCCGTAAATGAACACCTGAAAAAAACTCTCGTACTTCTGCATCCACTAAAACAATATTTGCCTGTAACGAACATGAAAGAAGAAAAAAAATTACTCCTCTCTTATTCTGCATAGCATTTTGATCACTCCCTGATTCAGCTATTAAGGATGCCATTAAGAAAAAAAGAAAAAGTAGAATAGCCCATGCTATAACTATATTTCGATTTCCAATAGTTGCACGTCGACAGATATAAAAAGTTAATAAAACCCATTTTCTAAAATAATTCGGTGATGGTGAAGCTTCACGAGAAATAGGTTCAAAACTATTGGATGCAATACTCTTACGGTGTTCTTCCACTTGATTTATAATACGACGATGTACTGTACTATTTGCAAAAGCAGCTGCCACTCGTGTAGATTCATTCTTTTCATCTAACATCACTAACATCTCACCAAGTGAATCACCATTTTCCTCATACATTTCAATATGTTCGCTAAAAAATTTATTCACATATGATTTTGGACCAGAATAAATTAATTGCCCTTGTGGTCCTAATATAATAAAATTATCTGCAGCTTCATAAAGTGCACGAGTAACATCTGTGGCCGATAGAACCACAAGTCGTCCATTACGAGAAACAAGTTGTTGAAGAAAAGATACAAATTCATGAGTTTCACCAGAGGAAAAATTACGTGTTGGACTATCTAACGCTAATAATTTTGGATGTCGTACTAGTTCCATACCTATTGCAAGTTGATAGAGCTGAGGTAAACTTAATCGTTCCGTTTTAACATCAAGTAGTTGATGAAGTTGTACAGTTTCCGCTACTTCTCGCACTAAACGTTCGGCTTCACGTGTAGCTACACGCATTTGCACAGAAAATAAAAGATTACTACGAACTGTTGCATCTCGTGTACATACATCAATAGAAGTAATAAGAGCGACACGTCTACGAAAAGCGGTGGATACAACGGGAAGTCCATTCGCCATAACAGATCCAGTTGTTTTATCCTCTACGCCAGACAATACTTCAAGCATTTTACGTGAACAAAATGTATTACTAGACATTACTACCGTAATGGTACCTGGAAGAAGATATCCAGAAACATTTTGCAAAATAAGTCGGGGTTTTCGAAAAAACGATATTCGTCCTTCAAAACTAACGTTTTCAAATGCCATTACAAATCCACGTTTGGCATGTGAAAGAGCCTCTTTTGGCCGCACGAGTGGTGCCTCTTCTGTTGGTGGAGAGACGGTTCCCACTGAATCCACATGGGCGGGATCTGCCGGTAAAGACGCCGAAACTCCCGCCGTCGTGGAGGACGTCTGTCCAAAAGAAACAGAGGAGGAAGTGTGTTCAGTCATATCAATATCAACGCCATCGGCATTATTTCCGTTCTTCCACTGTTTTCGGAAGAGACGCACCACCTTAGTGAGGTGATCTAAAGGCATTTTTCTCTTTATACACTAATAAATATAATAATTGATGTTTTTTTTTTCTTTCTTTTTTTTGTCCTTCAGGAGGAAAACATATAAAAAAAAAAGGATAAAAGGGACTGTTCGTTTATTAACGCCCTAGTAGCACGAACCGAATTCCTTTCTATCTCTCTCTCTCTCTCTCTATGTGTGTGTGTTTGTACATAATACAAAAGAGAAAAGAGGGGGAAATAAATGTGCATCGGATACCACAATAAAAAAACAATCAAAAAAAAAAAAGAACCAAGGTAAACAAACATTCTTATCTTTTTTTTTCTTCTTTTACTGTGTGAATATTTATTTATAATATTTCAGAAGTAGTGACGTTCGCTACAAAGGATCCAATACATCATTTTGTCTACTTACACACACACACACACACTGACTCACTCAATCACTCACATAAACAGAGAAACATAAAACTTTTCGGCATTTTCACCAGTCCCTATTCCCATTTACATTTGGTACACATCATTGTAACATTAGTTGTGTTTAGTTAGCGGAGTTAAGACTTTTCATCCGCGAGAAGCTCTGTTTGTACGAATTCCTCCAAATTCAATAAAAGCATTGCATATGCTTTTAATTGCTTTCGAGCTCTGAACAACTCCTCCATTGATTCACATTGCATTTTCCGACAGAACTGCATACGTTTTGCAATGGTATCTGTGAGTTGCAGGAGAGACGCCTCCGCATTGTTGAGATGCTCTAATTTTTGTTCCAATATATTCCTCTGCAGATGAAAAGCACGTCTAGTGATGAGTGGAGATGCATGAACGTCCCTCAAAGACATTGAAAGAATAGCAATATGCATGTCTGTGCGAGACAATTCATATTGAATACGTTGTTCCTCACTTCTTAAGAGATCATTTTTCATTCCCTTGATTTCACGTAGAGTGTAAGAGGTGCTTACGTTATTACTTCTGTATGTCTCATGTTTTTTACCATCTCCAGCGTTGTGAATATTAGACAATCTTTTCAAAATTAATGTTTTATCACGTGGGGGTAAAGGAATGATTGGTTCCAGATTCTTTTGTGTATCTTCACAGCAATCTGTAGAAAGAATAGCGTCCGAGGGCTTCTTCATGTTTTCATCATCCTCTTTTTCTTGTACTGTCCCTAACAAATCTTCATCCTTTCCCATAGCATGATCTACACCAGAAGGAAGAGGGTTTTCATATTTCCCCTTACTAATGTCATTATCACCATTTTGTTTTTGGGAATTGGTATTATTATTTATGCTTCCTTCCTGTGGAAAGTATACATTTTCTTGATTACTTAATTTTGCCAAGCTATTTTTAGCCAAGAGTACATCAGACTCTAACGGAACTATGGATTTCGTTGTTTGATTTAAATTACATTTACTTTCAGACGATGGCTTTTGTAATGAATTTAAACTCAACATTGGCGTACTGTGATCCTTTCCACTCTCATCTCTCAGACTTTTTACTTTACGCTCAGCTGTTGACATCTGGCGCACTTTGAGAGCAAACACAGGCAAATCCCTAAACTGCAAAACACCACGAAGTGTTATCGGTACCTCATTACTCCGCAGTTCAAATGGTAGATTAAGAAATGTGTCTACCAGCTGTTCCTGCAATTCTGTCAGTCGAAGTGTAAAGGACACAATAGGTGTTTCTGTGCCATTGCGATGTAGTTGTAATACTGTTAATTGCAACAACTGCATAACGAGTGCACGACGAGTTCCAATAAAAACAACAGCGGATGGTATCAGTGCAGCATCATTCCATCTGGCAGTTCCTGACACCGCCACGGCACCGCCGGAAGTGTTACCGTAGGAGAAAGAATGATTCGATGAGGTTGATGATGATAACAACTCAGAAGAAGCGGAGAAGAGTCGACACCGCAGTCCATAGATACCGTCTTTGAGGCCAATTCCTTCTAGTTCTATGGGCTGCAGTCGAATCTCTGCTAATTGTTCCATGAAGATTTTAACAGTCATACGACCTCTAGATGTGCCACCATTAGCAGCACAACTCATACTACTACTATCATAGTGAGTAGGTGCCATCAAGTGAAATTCGTAATGGGCACATTCACTCTGCGCTAAACGTAACAGACTCGTCGCAGCGAAACCAATACAATATTCATTTTCCCTATTGGCATCTGCACTAGTAGGCCTCCAAGATCCATTAAGAAGAAGAACCTGAAACACAGCAGTCCGTTGACTAAGTGAAACAACGAGTTCTTCCACTGTAGAGACTCGCAAACGGTACCTAAATCGGACGGACTCCTTTTCTTGTATAATTTGCGAAACTTGAGAAACCGCAAGGTTTACCACTTTGCCATCAAATAAAAGCCGACAAATTAGAGTACATTTGTCCAGTGAAGTGTTTTCAGGAATCTGAAGGTCAAAAACCCTCAATTGAGAAACACTTATTTGAAACAACCACATAGAGACTAATATTCTTTAAACATAAAGTAACTCTGACTATACCGTTTGAAGTAAACCAACCGCCTCATGGAAAACTACCTTTCTATTAAGAGGAAAAGGTAATAAAAGAGAAGGTGTGGGAAAAATAAAACATGTATATTCAACTAATGTGTTAAAAAGCTCGTTTTCCGTCACCATTACAAGAAATAAAAAAAAAAAAATCACACCACTTCATATGAGGTTCACAATATTATCGGTTGTCATTTCATAGTTGATTATGGTTTTGGTGGAGGTGGTGGCGGTGGCGGTAATCCAGCTGGTGGTGATGGTAAATTACCAATAGCATCTGAAGAAGTATTAACCAATGGTTTT